ATTACAATAATATACAAGCTCAGCTGAAGTTTCTACTCCAACAGTCACCTTAAGGCTGATATGAAAGGCCATTTCTTGAGTTATACCCATTTCCTACTTTGATCCATGACCTTTCAACTTTGGCCCATAAGACACTTCTGTGGCCAATGACCATCAATTAAATCACATGAAACACTGTGAAAAAACATTAAATGCTGGTTGTTGAAAGCAGGTAACAGAAACCAAACCTACCACCACTACTTTGTCTACTATCTCTTAATACAAAGTCACCCTGACCATCGCATAATGTATACCATGTTTTAAGTATATAAATACTGAGTTCTTAAAACTTATACACAACTTTTAATGAAGTAATAATGAATACTGTAATAACATGTTATGTTATAAATAAATTGTTTTAAAAGTTAGGAGTATTGTGTTATCTATCATAGCAGTCACCCCGTCATTTTTTAAGTTTATAGCATGGACAAAGGACTGGTACCTTTTACTACCCCTCCTGCAGAATCATCTAGGCCTGATATGGCATTTTTCGACATGATTTCTCAGGTAAGTGATGTTCTATCCATTTTCCCACTTTCCTATGGTTCCTTATTACCTCCATGCTGGCTCGTTTGTCGTCTTCAGCTCTCACTTTACACATGTTGTTTCCCTGTTGTTGGGATCTTCTGGGTCATGATTCAACCTTGTCCTGGGTTCGTTTGCCACCCCTTTCTTTTAGGGATTTACACATGGCCGTTTTCTTTGGTGTTATGTTTACGATAATGTATCTGAGACTTTGGAATCATGTGTCTAGTCTGGGTGTCAACACTCTATCCTTACCTTTTTGGTTGCATATTTGGAGCAATGACAAGCCCCTATTCCTGCTTACCATCCTGGTCCTTATCTATCTTTCCCTGATCCTCCTTCCAGGGGTTTCTCATTATTTTCTTCATGATAGACAGGCATGTCGCCAACAGTACAGAAGACTAACCAGTCGGTTCCAGTCTGGTGTGAGCTTGACCATATGGTTTTGTTACCCTTTGGCAAACTTTCACTACAGACGCATGGGTTCTTTGGGTTTTATCAGAGGGACATGTCCTACTATTTGTTTTCCCACCTCCTCTGTCTCAGATACCCTTTTCCTTCCCCGTGACTCAAGATTCTGCCACCAACCAGTGTCTGTCCGAGGGAGTACAAGGTCTTCTGTCTCAAAAGGCCATTGTACCTGTTGATCATCTTTCTCCATGCTTTTCTTCCAGGCTATTTGTTGTCCTCATGAAAAAAAATGAAGACTGGCAGCCTGTAATAAGTTTGTCTCACCTCAATCTGTTTTTCAATCTGCCCTATTTTACTTTGGAGTCATTTCTAAGCCTTAGGTGGTCTTTTTCTCCAGGTTAATAGATGTCCAAGATCAATGTTGTGAATACTTATTTTGCATATCTCAATGTCTCATCACTCGCAACTCTCTCTTCGGTTTATTCTCCATGGGGTGATTTATCAGTTTTGCACACTACTCTTTGGACTTGCTTTGGCCCTGTATGTTTTGTCGGGTGGTCAGAGCATTTGTTCATCACTTATATGCTATTAGGTTGCACTTTCATCTTTCTTTGGACGAATGACTACTGTTAATCTGTTCTGAAGAGGTGTCCGCCTGTTACACTCATCAGCTGCTCCTGGAGGTGGCTATAGTGGGCTGGTTCATCAAGTTGGAGAAGTACTTGCTGCAACCTATCCAATATCTTGTCCATTTGGGTGTTTTTCTTTTTCAACACTCATCTCAGTCAGGTATACCCTTCTCCTCTTCGACTTCGTTCTATAGGGGCTTTCAGTTATGTTACAGCTTGTGAGGTCCTATTGTTGGGATCTTTTGCAGCCCTTATCCCCTTAGATCAGGCTCATATGTGGGCTCTTCACGACCAGTGGAATCTCACTGAGGGTCTTTATTGGCTCTCTTATTTCCCTTCCTCCTACCTTTGTGAATGATCTGCAAATGATCTGTAAGTCATCCGGATTTACACATTTCATAGATGCATCCCTTTGGGGATGGGGGCATTGGTTGATCAACATGTAGCTTCAGGGATTTGTTCTGTGGCCATGAGGTCTTATCATATCAATATTTTGGAGCTTCTCACTGTAAATCATGTTCTGGTTCATTTTCTCCCTCTGACCAGAAATAATCTGGTAATGATCCATTCTAGCTTTTCTCCAGTGGTTGCTTATCTGAACCACCAGGGCGACACCCATTCTCAATCTCTCTGTATTCATACGTTTGATCTTCTTTTTGGGGCCACATGCTTGATATTCATATCACTGAATCCAGACAAAACCTATCCAACAAAATGGTCTCTTGATCCTTTTGTTTTCCAGTGGCTTTGGCTTCAGTAGGGTACTCCTCACATTGAAGCTTTTGCTACGTCCCTTACCCACAAATTGCCTTAGTTTTGGTCTCCAGTCCTTCATCTTCTTGCTGTGGCTATCTATGTTTTCAGTCGGAATTGGACCAACATAACTTATATTTATTCACTAATTTTTTATGGTGGTTACAAGGTCAGTCAAATCAACTGAACCTGTACAGATATTTGTTAGAGAAAGTAATATATAAAATATAAAGTTTTTTTTTCTTAAGAAATGTTTGATAACTATCTGGACATTATAAAGATTTGCATGGAAAATTTTAAAATTTTCTGATGCATGGAAGTATTTTTAATATTATAATGAAAATTATTTTACATGTTGGATAGTCAACATATGAAAAGAAAAAAAAGGCATGAGTAAAACATTGCTTAACAAACCTTCTTACTTAATATAAAAATTATATATTTTGCTTATGAAAGCCTTGGAATGTTTTCTGATAATCTGCCAAACTTCGTTAACATACGCTTACTAATTAAAAAATTATAGCATGAAAACTATAACAAGCACAAAATGGTTACAAGGTCAGTCCCAGGGACCAAGACCATGCTGAAATAGTTAATGAGCCTATGTATGTTTTCACACAAAAATGGCAACATGGGCTTGTCTGCCTGGTACAGTCTGAGAAAGGAGGCAATCTGTTTAGCAAAACCTTGAAAGATGCTTTGTTTTAGCCACACAAATTTTTTGAACTGTTTCAAATGATCCTGTCTTGGTACTTCATGTTCTCAAAATGTTAGCAGACCAGAGGCCACAGCTACAAAACTTAGTTATACTGACATTTTTCACCCATGGGTGCTTGCAAAATTTTAGCATGAATTTGTCACAGTCTTTCACTCTAGTAAAAATCTTCTATTCTAGCAAGAGTATCTTTGAACAGCCAATATAAATCAATCAATGTCCTACCTACTTGCTTGTGCAATCCACAAGCGCCCACATTCAGCATATTTACTTAAATCCTTCTCTACTTGTAAATGTACAGTGTCAACTACTTTCCAGTTCACATTGGGTCCATCTATAGACAACTGCAAAGGGTTCTTAAATCCAAAGGCACACACCATGTCCTGCATTTTTTCAACTAAATCATCTGCTGAAGCATGGCCTGAAAATTCAGAACTAATGTATTTTGTTCTTACTTCATCACTGTTCCAGATGAGAACATGGAAAACTAACTTTTTAAGACTGTAGATGTTTCTTTAAACTTTCATAATAAAGCAACAGACAAGCCTTCCTTTTCCAAACTGATATGTAATGTACTTTTTGAAGACAATGCAAAAAATTCAAAATTCTTCTCCTGGTTGTATATGCATTTACAAATTTGCCATGTTTTTTCTCTTTAGTATGGCTGGTCAAGGTTGCTTCTCCTTTATTGGAAATACCAAACATTTTGTCACACAACTTACTCCGAGCCTAACTTGAGCTTTGTCCAGATCTTTCCCTAGCCATTGAGAGTATTTATCACTCAGTAACCCTAGATTGTTAAATGTACAATTCCATTTTAAACTAAATTAAATTACAAAACATAAGACAACTAAGAGCATTTACACTTATCTGTTACTCTTTACAAAGCGTGAGCAATAACGTTGCGAGATAGCAAATTAAATTTTTTTTTATATTATGATTATAATAATTCATTATTATCTTCTGTCATTTAGTTTATCTATGAATTTTTAGTTGCATTAAAATGCTAACTCACCTTCTACATGATCATTTGTATTTTGAGTAAATATATATGTGTATGATGAAACTGACCAGCTTCCCTAGCGGTGATGCACAGATACTATCAGTGTAGCAGAAGAGTATGTAAATTTATGATCAAATGAGGATGTACTCTTGTGACCTACTCTGTGAATAAATACCCTGCCAGAAACTTCACTAAGCGAGAGAGTCATGAGATAGTTGTTGTGGGATATAGTTATTGCTGTTTGTCATATGATAATATTATTATTGGTTCTTTCTGGTTCTTTTTCCTGATTCCATTTCTGTTTTAGTAATATTTATGATAAAGTGTTTATTAACACTGGTGTGAAGTCTTGGCCAGGCATTTGTTTATTAACTGTCTTGAATTTATTTCTAAGTGTTGTTATAGTGAATAAATTGTGTTTTTGTTGATGAACCCTAATTGTATGTACCTTACTTAACAACCATTTAAAAAATTAAATAAAAATCATCGAAAGAGCTTAGAAACATGAGACAGAGTGAAAACAAAACAGTAATAAAGGAAAAATTTACAGTGCTGCTCAAAGTATTATAAACTTCCAAATTTTTTCCTGACCTTTCCAAAACTATTAATTTTTTTCATTTTCCAAGACATTTCAAGGCCTGTAAATAGTCATTTTCAACTTTTTTATATTACACAGAACACATAGTTCAATATAACTGTCAAACAAAATTATATACTACACTACTATGAGACGAGTCAGCTTGATAAATTCTTCTGGCACTGTGGTGATAACTTTCTCACACCAATGTAGAACATACATTGAGCAGAATGTCAGTAAATGTGTAATATGAATTGGTGTAACATGAATGTGTAACATTAACAGTGCAATATGAAAATGTAACATGAACTGGTTTTGTCAAAGACTAGTTAGAAACAAGTGTCATACCTCTCCACTTCCATGTATGTCATTGCACATTCAGAGAAAATCAGAGTTGGAGATTCAAAACTTATTCCTGCATCTTCTAGTGCTTTGTCTAGGTCACAGGTTACTCTAAGATCAGCCCCAATCAGAATGTAGTTTCTTCCTTGAAATACTTGCAAGTAAAAGAAATAAAAATATAGTTTCTTTGATTGTCATATAACAGTCTTAGAAGGACAAAGAAAAGCAGTAATCTATTATATGAAAAAGATACATAGTTCTGAAAACTGCTTTAAATAAAATGTTTACTTGTGTCTCTAAGACAGGGATCTTTGCTATAATTCCATTTACGTGATATCTGTGCAGGGCATCAGCTATATGTAACAACAGGTAAATTTTTCAAATGCATTTGAATTCTTGAAACAATATCGATGCATTGGACATAATGACAATTTAACAAGGGTATGTTAGGAGGTCAACACATTCAGAAATGTTAATAAACTTGTTAACATTATTTAAAGATATTCTGTATAGTAACAAAAGATTTTCAGCATGGCATAGGGACTTACTTAGAGTAAAAAACCACCACCAATTCAAAGCAGATGCACCACTCCAACTATTTTAACCATATCTAATCAATATTTTGTAATCCACAAATTCCATTTCAACTATACTGTAATAATAACTGAAGGCAATACAAAAATTACGTACAAGCAAATTAAATATATTAAGTAAATAAAAAAATACTAAAATATTACCTTTTTTGTGTATTTAATACATTTCAAATTCCATGTACATATTTGTATATCATCTACAATGTATGCAGCTTCAGACACTGCTAATAGAATGTATGATAAAATATGTTATGAACTGTTCCTGTGGTGCTTCTCTTTTTAATTAAGCTCCTAATTCCACCCAATAAATCACTAATTTTTTCTACTTTGAAGGTTTCTTAACTTGAGGTATTGGTTTCCCTGAAGTATCATTAAGTCAAATTCATACACTGGCTCAGTAAGTAGTAAGACACATTTAATGAGATACAAAATCAGATAATAGAAGGTAGTTTTTCTTTTTGGTTTATAAAATTTAATGTTAAAAACCAACATTAAAAGCATATAGTTGATGTCATGCACATTCATAAATCATATATAACTCAAACCAGTGGGATACATTTAATATACTTTCATGTTTGTGAGTGATTTATACATCTTTTTTTTTTCCTTTTGAAGTAATAAACTTAAGCAAAAAAACTGTAAATTAACCCTTTGTAACATGTAGGTCATAGTGCATGCCACAGCCTTTCACATAGATATATTCAAAACTTAATTAAACTACTTTATTATCAATGTATACAAATAAACTTGGCATCAATGCATATTTAATAAGTAAAGTTTTAATATAGGTTTTAAGTTATTAAGTTTATCCAGAAATATTTAGAAAAATCCTCATTCTCCCAAGTATGAGAACTGTTACATTTGCTCTCTAAGTTTTTCCTCTTCTTTAGTTAATTTACCACTTCTTCAAAAAGTACAGAATTCAACATAAATTACTTATTTTAATAGATATTACTCAGGCAAAGCATAATTTTTAGTCTTTAATCTTATTTGTTTACAGAGCCATAAACTAGAAAATCAGACCTACTTGCCACACCCACCTGTCAAATCCTTAATAATCTCACAAATTGCCAAAAGTTCCCTTTAAAATTTTATGCTATAGCATTTATAACCAATAGAAAGTCAAAGTTTTAATCTATCCAATGAAGTGTTATATTATACAAGGCATTGTCTATTTCATTGTTCAGCTCCAAATTTGTTCTCACAACAATCAAATAGATGAGCTTAGCTGAATTTCTAAAGACTCTTAGCACATAGTTGGAAAACCAGAAAAATTACAATGTTATAGGATTTTGTTTCCTTTTTTGCATGTTATAATTTTGTGTTCTTAGGTCCAGTATTTAATTAAATAAAAAAATAGTTTTGCAGTAGTACCATTAGTATTAAAAAGAAAGCTTTAGCTTCATTGGCAGTTGGTAGCAAAACAAAAAACACCAGAGTCGTAGACTCGAGTCACAATTTTTAGACTTGGGACTCAGACAACATGACTTGCAACTTAACTTGAGACTTGCCCATTATGACTTGTGACTTGATTTTCAACTCGATAATCCAAGTAAAAACAAAATAAATTCTTGAATTTTCCTGCAACAAACCTTGTCAACTGGACATAGCAAACATGATACACTATGTTTACATAAGTTCCAAAGTGTATTGGTCTAGAATAGCAACAAATTAATGTATATGTACATGTACCAACAAACTTTTACAATCTCAGTGTCAGGGGTCAAGAATGCTAAAGACAAACAAGGTCCTCACCCAGAACTCAGCTGCTTGGAGGGGTGGTAAATAAATTAGAGAAGAGGGGGTGCCTAGAGAAAAAATGTTGCATTTCTCTCACTAGGGGAAATTTAGGATGTTTTTTTTTAAATATTGCTTTATAAAATTAAGAACTTAAACTTGTGTATTATTAAAATATGAATTATTAGCTGTGATTTTATGTTATACTAATTGGAATAAAATGTAGTTTAATTAAATTTTGAATGTAAATTTGATGATGGAGAACCCACTTTTTAGAAAATAAAAGTTTTGAGATGGCTTGACTGGGTAATGAAAAAACTTTATTATACATCAATTCTATAAAGTATTCCTTCATTCACACCAACAAATTACCACTAACCACTTTCAATAAATTTCCACACAACAAAAACCTCAAAACTCAACTCACAAACAAAAACACAACATTTCACTGCAGTTTACCATTTAACTCTGACAATAGTTCAAAAATAACCAATACATGGAGAAAACTTGCTATTAAACATCAATATTTCTATTGACTTCAAATTCACCCAAAAACCTGGCCCTAAACTAAAATCAATATTAAACAAAAACTACATAGAATCACACAATACCAATGTTGTTTATAAAATAATGTGCAGTAATTGGTCAGAATTCTATAACAGAGAAACCAGAAGAAAATTGGAAACAAGATTCACTAAACATAATATATACACCTGGAAAAAAGTTAAGCACCCCCAAATATTTTTCAGGATTGCTTATTGAAAATAAGGTTTAATTTTCATGATGTTGAGCAATGTTCATAATTTCAAACATAATTAAAAGGATGTGAGCGTTCTGGTGTGACATTTAAATCAGGCGTCGTTTTTTTCCCCACGTTGCAACTTGCTCCCTTCTTCACATCCAATATGCACTATTTTCTCGTGCATCAAATCCGT